AAAGGACCAGTCACTTACCCTGGTCATTTGTACTCTAATCTCAAACCAAGACAACACCTGAAGCCAATCCTGTAATAATCTAATTAAAGAGATAATTACTAAGAAAATAAATGAGTTATTTACAAGATTAAAACAGGAAACACACACACATGCACAAGTTACAGGCTTAGATTTACAAAAGGTAACATTAGCTTCTAATAAAAGCAGCTTTATGTGCCCTTTAGGGCTGACCCATGCCAAGCAGCATGGGGATCTCTTGCTTATGTTTAGGAATCTTTGCCCCTCAGAATCCAGACAGCATGAAGACATCTCGATTCCTTCTGGTCAGGTATTTTTATCCCCTTCACCCCAGAATCCAAGATGAAGTGATAAGTTCCTGGGAAGGCCTCCCCTTCCTGGTGGGAGTGAGGAACACAGTCAATAAGATCTCTGTCCTTTTGATGCTACACAACGTCTCATTTACCTTCAATGGGCCATCTTGTGTGCAGGACGAGCACTTTACCTTAATTAATGTTTCTTTTCCTGTTTGGTGAGTTATACAATCACAGCAGTTTACAATGCAAACACTCAATCTAACTTTATACCATGGGATACAGATATTATAAGTAAGACTAATACACGTAGCATCCTAAAAGCATTCCATAAAGTCTAAATATATTCTTATAGCAATGTCTATTTTAACTGTATCAACACACAGGCGCGACAGACTGGTTTCCAGCTGTGCACTTGTCAGTGTTCAGTGAATCCCTGGGCCTTGGCATGAACTGGCACCTGGTCTGCCAGGGTCACAGTGGGTATTTATGGAACTTCTTGCTTATAGCAGATGTTTCTTCCTAGCCATAGGCAATTAATGGGTGGCTTTTTTCCTGAAGAGTGAGAGTTTATACATAACTCTATGGTGTTTGCCTGATGAGAAACATACTCCTCAGAGGCACTGAGTGCCTTCAATTCACAGTGAAGTCCATAGACATTGAGGGCATTCATCATCTTATAGGATCAAACCTAGAGTGGTTTATACATGAAGCACTTGGAAATCAATTTGCTCTTCATAAATGTCATATTAGAACACTAGACCTAATGTCCTTGGGAGGTGGGGGGGAAGAGAGAGAGAGTGTCTTTGCAGGAGCAAGAAAAGCTCACAAAGTCACTTGTGCTCCCTCTCCCTGTTGTGATCCTCATTTCTTGTGTCTCATAGCATCTCCTCTCAGACATTCCAAGTATGATGACAGCCATAAAAATTAGGCTTGTTAAGTGACAGGAAAGATCACAGGCTTTCATTCTTATTGAGCTCCTCCAACAACAGCTGCCATTTGGCTCACCATCACCATCTAATATGGGATCTGATTTATGAAGCTGCTCAGATCAGAAAGTGGGACACATGTATTGTCCTTTCCCACAAATAATGAGGTGGGACAGAGACACTGAAAGAGCTATTCTGGGCCATCACTAAATCCTAAAGCTAAAAAAATTCAAAGGTTATTAAAACTCACTTTAGATAAAGACGTCCAGTAATTCACAGGAATAGCTGTAATCTTATACATAGTTCAAAGATGCAGGAACACTAATGCACTTCAATAGCTAGTAAAAAGTATTGTAGAATAATTTTTATTTGAAATCCACAGTGCTTGTGAATTACAGGGATAATAGATACATAGCTGCTTTGTAGCAATGCTGTCTAACATGGAGTATTTACTCCTGAAAAATAATTAGCCATGATAATATCTAGCTTTTATATAGAGCTTTTTATCAGTAGTTCTCTACTGATTTACAAAGGAGGTCAGTGTCATTATCCCCATTTTACAGGTGGGGAAACTGAGGCACAGGGCAGTGACGTGACTTGCTTATGGTCACCCATCTGCCAGGGACACAGCTGGGACTATAACTCAGGTCTCCTGAGTCCCAGTCCACTAGGCCGCATTGATTCCCACACTGTTGTGATAAGCTGCTGAATTAAATAAAAATAGACACTTGATTTTCAAGATGAGGGGAACTGCATGTGTGTGGAAAATAATATTTTAACTTTTTTGAGTCATAAATCTTTTAGTGTGTGACTTTACTGAAGTAACTGTAGAGCTCTGAGGATGAGGGAGGAGTGGGGAGTCGCATATTAAAATTAAATGAAAGCAGAATATCACTGTCTTTCCCTGCATTATGGGACTTTCTGAAAATGTAGATTAATTTTGTGTCTCCTCCCACCTACATCTGAAAGCTCTGAGCTGCCTAAAATGTCAGATGCCAGTTTATTTTGCTTCCATTTGGTTCAGATGGATGTAGAGAACAACCTTATTTTACTGTACATTGCTATTTCTTCTTTGTTGTACTGTACGTAGTTTTCCAGCTGTTGTCACTGATTCAATGCACTAGATCCTGTCCTGACTCTTAGGGCAATGGCTGCTTTTTTCTTATTAACTTCTGTCCTCATAGTACGATGGTTTCTTCTCTGTGTGCAGTCTCTTCTTTGCCCCTTCAGAAGGGACTTCATAAAATACAGGAGAGGGGCACTCATCGTCCCAGGGTCTGTGGTTCACCCTCCCACTTTACTGTTACATCAGGTGCTACTGCAGCTGCTGTTGCCTTTCCCTCCTCCCCTCCCCCACCCCGTGGTGGTACTACACACTAAATAATATCCATTAGGCTCTCTCTTTCAGGTCTCTGTTTTAGTCAGATTGCTATGTGATGAACAGGGAGACATTTGAACACCCACCTCAGGTGCCAGTCATATGGGTGATGGTTGTTCCTTTTGGTGCGGCAATAGCTGTTGTTCCCCACTAGTGTTATGCTGCCAACATTTTAACTCCATCAGTTCCATGCTTCTCTGTCCTCTGCAAAAAATCTGTTGTTTCCATACTCTTCCTTCCCTCCCTCCATCCCCCCAACTCCATCAATTCAGCCACCACTCCCACACCTAGCCCTTACCTCTTCACCCACCTATTTCCCCTCTCTTCATTATCTCATTAAGGCCCTTCTAGGTGTCAGGTGTTCCTCACAGCAGCAGCAGTGGTGTTGGTAGGCAGGTTTCTGGCTGGCTGCTTGCTTGGTTGTGAAGCAGGTCACGTCTGGCGATGGGCTTATGTAGTCAGTTGAGGAAGGGATCTTGTTTGGTTCCTGAAGTACCCAAGTATCCCCTGACTGTTTAAGGTCTCTCTCAATTGCTCTGGATAGGAAAGATGGAGTACATCACCCCAGAGTGGTGAGGTAGATCTCCACTAGCTGGTGGTTGGTGAGGCAACTGTGTCTCAAGCGCCCTCCTAGTACCATTTCTTCAAATTCCAAGCTGAGGCTGGGAAGAGAGGCACTGGCCGAAAGACAGCCAGGCTGCATCATGCTTATCTGTCTGGAAGTGGGGAATAAAAGAAATCAAAAATGAAGATGTGACTAATAGACATCTCAAGCTTTTATATGCCCTAGCACAGAGAAACCACACTGAGATGCCATGAAAGTTGTGGATAGGAAAAGAGACAGGCTCAAAACAGCATAAGGAAATTTGGTGCTCACATGAAAAAAGTCCTTGGAAAGAAAAGCATATAAATTAAAGGGGGCGGGGAGGAAGGCAGGCAAACGGAGAGTGCAGGTATTTTGGATTGCGAATGGGCTGATAGGGGCATTCATTGGGATTGCAGTCCGTGAATAACAAAGATGGTCCAAAATGTCTTGAATCTGTTGACCTTCAGGACATGCTGCAAGGTCCACCTGTTTTTCTCAGCAGTAGCTTGGCCCCTTCTTTCCTCAGATAGTACTGGAGAGGGATGGGGGGCTTCTGGAACTACTTGGTTGCTTCCCAAGGCACACCAGGAGGCACTGGTGAAAGATGCAAGCAGAGAGGATTAACATTTTTAATAGGCAGAGCTGGCCATAGTCATTTTGGAGTTGGTTGCCAAACAGTTTTTGCCATCTCCATCCTGAATGTAAGAGATTCCAAACTGTCACGATCACACAACCATGAATAGGCCCAGCCTAAGGATTCAGGGATCGCAAACACCATGATACTTTGAGATACACCCAAAACTTTACTGATTCATTTTACTTAGCGATTGTGTGGGTATGTTTGTACAGAGGCAGGTAGGAGATTTAAGGGCCTCCCTGCTTCCTGCTGCAGAACAGAAGTGGAGCTCAGCTGCATATTCCTTTCAGTCTTAGCCTTGAACATGTAAACTGATTGCCATCTCCTCAAGAAAATGGTCTAGAGAGGTACTTTATTTAAAAATAACCCAAAAAGCTGAGATTCTCCTTTACAGGGCCCAGGGACCGGTTCTATTAACAAGGATCTCATGGTCACTTAGCAATCTCCAGATACTCCCCAAACTTCTCCACCCTGATCATTTCTTTCATTTTCTTCTCTTCTGTATTCTGTCTCCTAATATTTCCCCAGTCATCTAACTTCTCTTCCAAAATTAATGAAAGTAATAAAGGGACTAACTTATGCCAAAACAGTTACTCAATATGGGTGCATATATATGTGTGTGTGTGTGTTTGGATGGTTCTGTTATTTTTGTCATTTAACGCACCAGTAATTTTAATAGCCCTTTATCTGACTTTTTCTCTACAGGCTGTAAATTATTTTTGTGATATTTCTTGCATGTGACTTTTTCCAGATAAAGGTTCTGATTCGTCATGGTGTTTCTCTGGTTATATGTGTAACTCCATTGGTATCAGTGGACCTATGCTGCTGTAAAAAAGGTCTAATGGTGCAGAAAGTTTAATTGTTTGCTGTTGTAAAAGCAAGCCTAGCTTAGAAGGGAAAAAGCATTAGTAAGGTTTTTTTTTTCTTTACACATCAGATAAAATAAATTATCTGTAAATACTTATAAAATATAAGTTTGTAGCAAACTATGTCAAATTATGATATTGAATCTCTAAAAGTATCATTACTGAGGTAACAAATAATAGTTTTACAGTGAGTGTAAAAGATTGATTGTAGTCGTATTTGTTTCTTTTTTTAAAAAAAACACAGCTTTGGTTACTAATGGGCCTTTATCATTTTCATTTCATGTGCTTTGAAGAAACTGTATCTGTCCCTGGATGAACAATGGCATAGTGGAGAACTGCAATTTGCTGAGAAACTGAATTCAAAATCATTTTCAAATTAATATTAATCTTCCCCCTCTCGCTCCCTTTTGCATGTTCCCTGGAATTTTGCTTTGACTGGGAACCAAAAGTTGATGAAAAAATCTTCACTTCTCATGTTTGCATCCTGCAAATGTTATGTCTTAAATACTTCTTTTTCCACATGACTTCATGTGCTAGCAATTTGACTTAATGAGTAGCTGCAATAAATGTACAGTATGGAAATGTTGTTACAAGTCTGCTAGAGCATTCCCATGCTTAAGCAAAGCATTGCGTTGAAAGAGATGTAAAATATATAATTACTCTGAGGCCTTGAACAAAATCCTGGTTCTTAGTTCACTCTTACCCTTTTTTGGACAGTGTGAGTAAACCTTAATTATGCCTTGTTTTTAAAGAGAATTGCTGAGGGCCTGTACATCTGGACTTTGCTTTCCCTATCATCATCTATGGATATGTTCAAGCTATTAAAATGAACACAATTCACTGCATATTGTTTATTTTAGTTGAAACCCTGCCAAGTTCCTTACCTAATGATGTATTTAAAAGATCTCACATAAGCATATTGGTAATTTTATTTGGAAATTCAATTTAGCGGATGCAGCAAACAAGATGAACCCAGAATTAAATGTGATTAGATTTCCTCTCCTGAATATTTACAAATTTTAGATGTTAAATCTGCCTTCCAATCCCCTTCAATGTCAGCCTGTTGCCAATTTGTTTCTCATTGCTTAGAAGAGCAGAAAATCATGGGTGTGACTGAAATGTAGGTTTTGCAGTTATTGTTGCTTTTCTCAGAACTGAAGCATTCAGGTTTTTTTTTTAAATGGTTAATGAATAAATTCTGTGCTGACTTATACCCTATACAGTTTCAGTTAGTTTCTTAGTTCTTTTGAATGTCTGAAGCAGTCTTCATAGTGTAAACTGATGCACTGGTAATCAGTACCTCTTATTGAAAAGAATCTGTAGTGTCTAGTGATGGACAGAAATAAATCCACAGGTTAATGGTGGTTGAACTTTAAATGGTTTGCAAGTTAAGAGTCCAATCCTCCAACTCTATCAAGTCAACAGAAGGGGGCCAGCAAAGAAGGAAGTGCATGCACCACTTTTCAAAGGTGTGACAGGACCACTCTGCCTGGTACACCCAGAGCATTGCACTGTCTGATGCAGTCAGATACCACCGTGATGGGTGTGATATAAATGCTTGGGTAGATGGATGGGTAGACACACTGGCTACAGCAGCTCTCACTGGCACAGTGCCACCACTGAGAGGTGAAATCTGTCTGCTATTCAGTTTAAGACCTGGTCCCAGGAGGGCTCAATTTTGGTTAATGACATGTTGCTGAACATGATCTGTCCTTACCAATTAAATGGTTATGATATATTAACAGTTTCCCCAAAACTGAGCTGAGTGGAAAATATTTTTCTTCCTGCATAAATTTTTTACTTTTCTGTTTTAAAAAAAAAATGGTGGTGGTTGAGGCGGGGGGCGAATTTGGCCACAATCTTTAGGTTAAAATTGAAAATACTTCACTGAGCCTCATGGAAGTTGTAGTTCAGGTGTCTCATACTCCCATTCTCCTCTATGGGCCAGGCTCCCTGGATGAGCTATATCTTCCCTGATACATTCGAGTTTCTCCTCTTGCTGAGCATAGAACAGTGCTTCATCAGAATCCCTAGCTGCAGTGCATTGTGGGAGATGTAGTCTGGCTGGGGAACCTAGCCCATAGAGGAGAATGGAGGCATGAGGCAGCAAAATAACAACTCCCATATAGCACCAGAGCAGCATTTCCAAATTGAAATATTTTAGTTTTAGACTTAAATGCTTTGGTTTTTTAGGTGTTCAGCTTTTTAATGAAAAGTCAGGTTTCCATGGAAAGCAGGACACTTTCTGTGACAAAAGGTTGTTTAGTCAAAAACCCAATTTTTTATCCAAAAACAGTTTCAACAGAAAATTTTCAATCAGCGCTACCCAAAAACATTGTGTCTCTCTCTCTCTCTCCTAATAAACATTAGAGCCATGACTAACATCATTTGATCTGAGAAACCATGAACTTAGGGTAAGTTCAGATCTGAGCTCTGCAACTCAGGCCCTTGTTATTATCTTCATGTATTTCAAATTCAAACAAAATGACTCCTCTTCATATTTGTTGTATTGAAGGATGGGCAGACTTCAAAAAGCTGGGTAGTAGTTTGAAACAGGACTTGAAGATGCTTATTTTAAGCCTTCCCTAATCTATCCAAACCATTTTATCCTTCAAAACAGGGGTTGAAACATTATGAAAGTAGCGTAGTAGCTTGTGTTTCCTGTTTTGCCTGCAACCATGAGTTACAGATATGAGTAAGGCTGAAAATATAATGAAAAAATCTAACGGGCTAGGGTTTGTCTCAGGAGTCAGATGAGTGGAGAGTCATTTTATGGGAACCTGTTCCTAGTTGCACTATGTTATTCTGGAGAAATTCTGCCCTATTTTGCTCCATACTACTGGTTTAGATGGTTCTTTTACTTGACAAATTACTGAGACTATTTTTTAAAATTATTTAAAATTCTATTTTTAAAACAAATATAGCAGAAGAGCAGCAATAGTACTGCCACGCTCTTTTACAAGGCCATAATTCAGTCCCCTTGTTGGCATAACCCATGAGAGCTTTGGTCTCATAGCTTCTCCATTTGGTGACTGGATTACTGCCTTGTAAAACAGCATGACAGTACTATTACTACTAAAAGAAGGGACAGCCATCCAGAGAGCCAATTGGCTGACACCTTTTTTTCTTTTGGCCATAATATTTTTGTTCTTGGAAGTAGCATATAAAACAAAATGTTTGCAACTCTAACACCTAATAATTTACCTTTTTTCCCTGCAATATGAAGTCTATTTTATATAGTTTGCTTAATTTATTATCAACTTGCTGATAGTATTATTCATTATTTATATAGCACTGTAAATGTATGAGGCATGTCACAATAAGTAATATGTCTAAGTATGTATATGGCTCCTTTACAAATATTATTAATTTACCCTCCCAAGACTTCTGTGTGGTAGGGACATATTATCCCCGTTTTACGTATCAGGAACTGAGGCTCAGAAAGATTAAAGATTAGATTGTGTATCAATTTCTCACATTGGTGAGCATTTACATACAGTGTCCTAATGAAGTCACCCAATGTGAATGTGAAGAAGGGGTGCATAATCTAGCCCTTTGTGACTTGCCCTGGGTCATAGCAAAAGTCAGGATGGAACCCATATCTCCTGAGTCCCAAGCCAGTAGCCTTAACCACAAAATCATTCTCCCATTCCTTTGAGAAGTAAAGGACACAATGCCTGCCCAAAGAGTTTACACTTTAAAGGCACTGTTGTGTGTCCTGGTCCCACTAATATGGCCTGGTATCATGCAGACAAACAGAGATCATTGTGTTGTCACTGTAGCTGCAGCATTTCCACAATTTAGGTGGGTTTGCGGAGACTTTTGAAGGAGGACAGAACAGGAATTTAGAACAACCTCCCAATTTTTTCACACATTCACGAGAGGGGGGCGGGGAGAAAGAGTAGTGGATAAAAGTCCTCAGAAGAATGTTTCCTGCTGCTAGAGCAAAGCAGAAGACCATAGCCGGCTGGATAAAATAGAGTAGCCCCCGAGCTGTTCTATTCTGTGCCAGATCTAAGGAAGGGAATCAGGGAGCCAGCTATTCCCCTCTTTGCTGCACCCAAGATCTGGCTTTGTGCCTTTGATGAATAAACTACTGCTAATTATCCAGCTAGATGAGCAATATTTTTTCTTTTCAAATACATAATTGCTTGTTTGAATCCAAAATTGCCAAATTTCATCTGTATCCACATTTTTATTCAAATTCACTCTGAACTACCAGTACTACAGAAATCTGCTTCCAGGTTGTCTTAGGGCTTGTCTTCACTACAGAGTGGAGTTATAACTCAAGTGGAGCTCCTAACTCAATTCCCATCCACACATAAAACCCCTTAACTTGAGAGTGGTGGTGCTTTTTACTCAAGTTGGCTGAGCCATCAGGGCCGTACCACTGTAGTGTCTCACTGTAGATGTTGGGTTGCCCTCAAAGTTATATAAGTATGATAGAATTATCATTATGTAGTAGTAGAAATAAAGATAGACAAAAGAGTATATAGGTATTGTAAAAAAGTATGAACATCAGTTCCATGCTGTTGAATTTCACTCTGTAATAAATGCAAGGCCAAAGTGCTAATTATTTCAGACCGGAACAGGACAAAGAGTCTGTGCTGGAAAGTGATAAGAACTTTGAGAAAATAATGCTGTTCTTTAAAACAACACTCTGATGCTCTTTCCCCACGGGGGCCCCTTGTCATGCCTATGTAAATCTTGGTATCCAAAGAGGGAAAAATAGATAGTGGGATAGAACTTGTTCAATGAATCAAGAATCATAGATTGTGTTGTTAAGTAAAAGAATGGATGATGAGTGCATGGAATTGAGAGCCTGAAGCAGGGAAATAATTGGTTAGTAACTAGTGCCAGCCTAATCCTAAGAATTTCAACCTTGGTATCGATGGGCCGAAGAATATGCAAAGTGGAGATAATCGGATGACCCCGGAGGGCGAACTGGAATCCATGCAAAACGCATCAAGGAAGAACAAGAAGATAACACCTAGCCATCATGGATGTACCACCTACTGATTGAGCTGATTGATGGTCATCTCAATTGTAAATTCAGCATGATGAAGCAACTTCCATAGACTTGTATTGAACCAGAGACCTACAAAAATTGGGTCCAGGGACTGTGTTCTTTGAGTCTGGTTCTACAACCACCCTCCAGGAGCATCGGATGCGCATCTGACAATGACTCGGCTCCACTCTTGTGTCCAGGCCACCTGGCCAATGACTTGGCACGAGCAATGTCTAGGCTGGTAACTATAACAACCTTTTTGTACAACCTGTGTGTGAATGTCTGTGTGTGTGAATGGATCTATATAGAAATTGCATATAGGAATACTTTGTTGTATTTACAATAAACATGGCAACTTGCCTTGTCCCTCTTACAAGATCCTGTTGGTATCATTTTTATTAGTGTAACATAGACACTACCTATGCCAAGGGGAGGGGTTCTCCCATCACTGTAAGTAAGCCACCTCCCCAAGAAATGGTAGGCAGGTTGATGGAAGAATTCTTCTACGTGAGCACTTGGGTCAGGTTACTTACACCGTTCAGGAGTGTGGATTTTCACACCCCTGACTGACGTAGTCAAACCAATATAATTTTCCAGTGTATACCAGGCATCAGTGTTATTTCACAGTGTGACTGCTCTCACTCAAGCGAGGCTAACACAAGAAGAGTTAATGCAAGTGTGTATAACTTGAGCTAACTCTGCAGTGAAGACGCAGTCTTAGAGAACAGAGTGCTGGTGCATTTCAGCCGGACAGAAACCGGTGTATGGGTAAAAGTAATTTTTAAAATAATCATTCATTCATAAATATTCTGGTTGCTACCACAACAGAAGCTTAAATTCTTTACAGATTTCATCAGTAAGCTTTCCTGGAACAATTTACAGGAAGCACAGGTAAACCCTGATTATCCAAATGTTTATTCATTTAGAACTTACATAAGACATGAACAGCATAATGTTTAAAAAGGGGGGGAGCCAGGATTGCAAAGCATATTGTTTCCCAGAAGCATTAAACATCATGCAATTCACTGCCCTTCATAAATATGTAACTGGCTTGCTTACTGAATTGCATGTGAGTCCACGCATCCAACTCCCCCACTGAAAGACCAAAAATAAGTTACTGTAGCCAACATTTAGAATGGTGTTGGCAGATGCCAGAGGGAGCCTACCTAGCCCACCATCAGAGTGGTTGTTGTGACACAGAGCATTTAAGGGTAAATGGGAGGATTCTGGGATATGGTCTCAATGTAAATGTTTTTACAAGTATCTGGAACTTTGTTGTTTAAATTGTGGAATCAGTTGCTCCAAGGGAAAGTATGGAAAAAATGATGTAAGCCCACAGATCAAAATCTAACAAGTTTATTCAAATACCAGATTGCTTTCTTTTAGTTGGGAAAAAAAACATTCTGTACTAAAAAGACAGTCTCGTTCCCACTTGGTAGCATGCTCTGCTTGCCTTCGGGCTGTCTCTCAAACAGCCCTCTTCACAGCTCTGCTGACAGAATTCAGAGCTCACCAAGGGTGCCTGTCTAAGAGTAACGCCCAACACCAACAGCCAAAGGGGCTGTCTGTGTTTGCCTTGCATGGTAAATGAGACCTCAATTATCATCTTCAGGACAATAAATCCCAGTGGATCACAATTTGATGAATACCACCTCAGTCCTAGAGGAAATGTTGTGTATATATAGTTCTAGCCAAATGGTCTCGAGGAGAATTGACCCTAGATTGTAACATGGGAACATTCTCAGCCAAGTTGTCAGCACTTCAGAGAGTTTCTTGCTTTCATGTAAATTCTTGATGTTGGGTCTTTCTGGTTACCAAAAATCTCATTTGAGTTCATTTTCTGCCATCTTTTAGCATCTTAAAGCTACAAAACTGACCTTAAAATCACAGCCGCTCATTTTATTAGTGCTCTGTATTTACACTTAGAGATTTTACACCTGGAGATTTTTATAGGATTTCAGTTTTGATTTTGTTCCAATAGCTTTTTTTGTCCATCTCTATAACAATAATCAAAATAGCTTACATTTTTATGCCATGCCTTTCCTCCCAAAGGATCCTAAGCACATTTACAATCTATAAAAGCTGACTTTTCTGTATACAGAAATGCCTTTACCCGTCAGAGAAGTGCAGTCACCTGTGGGGTGGAGCACAGCTGTTTAAAAGCATACAACATTTTTGCATTTTAAAGTGGAAAGTGAAGAATACTGTATCCATTTGAAACTACAGAGGGGCTTTAATTAGGCAGAATGTAATTTATGCGAATAGTAATCTGACCTGGGCAACACCCCAGTTCTTGCAAAAAGTGCCAAAGGGCCTTTTAATTTTAGCATGCTGTCAGGACATCAGTTGTATGACTTCTTCAGAAAAACCAAATGTCCAGCATGGTGGCCCCTAATTCTATGCAGAAGGGAAGGGAGGAACCAAGTGAATAATCTGCTTCCAAGCTGCACTCTGTATTTTTCTTAAAGGTCTCTCTAAGTGCTGAGCAGGTTTCACTCTGCTTTGTTTGTGAGATTTGAGAAAATTGTAGCCCAAGGTGGTACAGCTGCAGCAAATCTCTTGATGGTGCTCACAGAAATCATGTTCTTTATAATAATAGAAAAATAATAATTGTTGGTGATGATGGAAGTAAAACTAAGCTTGTGTGAATGCACTGGGGGATGTTTTTGTTTTCAAACAGATTTCTTTATGATGACTCAGTATGAATAATAAGCTCTGTTATGACAAGTTGTATACTTGGCAAACTCTAAAAGTACCTACAGCAAACTAAGCTCATGCTTAGCGTTAAGCACATGCTGGTGTTCCCTTCCTGAATAGAGATGCTTTTTTAATCAGGGCCTATATGCAGAAGATATTTTAAAATACTCTGGCAATGTGAAGATTTGAAAGTAATGACTTTACTGGAATATCTGAGGTGCAAACCCCAGAAGAGGATAATATCCACTGCAGCAACAGCTGTTGTGTCCATGATAGTAACAGTAATTGGTGCTTATATAGTATTTTTCATCTAAGGATCACAAAGCATTTTCTGAAGAAAGTGCCATTTTTAAGTACCCCCATGTCACTGAATGGGGAACTGCATTACAGAGACTATGCTTGCTCAAACTACAATTATAATGAAGTGCTATCCACCATTTAAAACATAGATTTTAAAAGCCAGAAGTGGCCTTTTGGTCAAAGTATGACCTGATTAACACAGACCAGAGAATTTCATCCAGTTACTCCAATATTCAGCCTAATAATGTGTGTTTGACTAAAGCATGCTTTTCTTTTCTCCTTCTTTTTCTTTTATTGAAATTTTCCTCCCCCAAAATAAGGGAAGAACAGAAAACTAAACAGAAGAATGGGAAGGGAAGGGAAGGGAAGGAAAGGAAGGGGAGGCAGAGAGGGGAAAGGATAGGGACATCTTTGATTAATTCCTAGGGGATGAAAGCTAAGATTTCTAAAAAGTCAGACCAAATCTCTTAAAATTTGTCTGAGTTCCCTCTTCTCCAAAATGTTTCCCACTCTTCAGCTGCGAGATCAGCCAAGATGCTTCATGTGCCAATATATATTCATGCCTGTATCTGTAATTTTCACTCCATGCGTCTGAAGAAGTGGGTTTTTTATCCACAAAAGCTTATGCCCAAATAAATCTGTTAGTCTTTAAGGTGCCACTGGACTCCTTGTTATTTTTGTGGATACAGACTAACATGGCTACCCCTCTGATTTAAGATGCTGTGCTAATTTCTGTCCCTGGAGGCAAGCTGCTCTTCCCTTGATGCAAGATGAGTCGTTTGGTTACAAGTATTGTTCTAGAACCAAGCTTTCCATGCCTTTCCAAGCTGATGGGATATATCCCAAAACACAGTTCTGGGAAGTCATTTTTAGGGCTATGTCCATTAATATATTAACTCTCCTACCTAGTTCTAGCGAAAAGGATTGTATCCTGGGACAGTCCCAAAACATGTAAGCCAGAATGGCTCTGGTTGACCCTTATCTACAGCAGCAAGTCTTTGGCAAGGCCCATGGACTGTAATCTGAGTGAGGACCATTGTGAATAAAATAGATTTTTCTGGTGGATCAGCCTTAATCATAGGTCAACAGTAGAGTTTTAATATTTCACAAGGCACTTTCCCATTGGCTAGGGTTAAAGGATCTAGACAAATCTTTGCTCCAGGCCTGATGCAGGCAATATAAATTAGGAAAGGTCTTTTGGGCCAGGAAGGTGTAACAGGCTACAATTGGTTAGGTGCCCTATAAAGCTCCTTCCACATCAACGACTATCCTGGAGTCTCTGGTGCGCCCAGTACCTCAGGACCAAATATGTCCTTCAAGAAATGTTGAAGCTGGAAATAACACCTTGCCGCTGGCCGGCTTGACTAACGCTTCTTCCTGAAAGGCATCCCATCTTGGTATGAAGACTTCAAGAGATGGAGAATCCACTGCTTCCCTTGGTGAATTTCTCATATATTTTCCTAAAACAAGATAGCATTAGAACACAGCTATCTAATGAAATCTCTGCACATAGATACAAAAAGGAGGCACTAAGGACCAGACCCTCAAAGGTTAATAGTTAGGCACCTAAATACCTTTGAGGATCTGGGTCTAAGAGCTTTCTATAAAGCCCATTTAAATCAATGAAAAGACTCTCATTGACTTTAGTGGATCGTGAATCCAGTGCTAAGGGAGCAAAATGAAGCATACAGTATATGCACAAGTCGGTCCAGGATGGCTGTCTATTAGACAACGAGCTAATAGTTTAAGGGGGCCTAAGCCCTAAATCAAATCAATGTCTTCACATGCATCCGGTTCGAGGAAGAACCCCACATGATAGTGCATTTTGAGCTGGATGCTTATTATTGTTGTGTTAGAACTGCAGCGTGCTTGGTACTTTACCAACCAAGTGACATTGCAAATGGAACAAGAGAATTTGCATTAAAGGGAAAATGTCAGTTTAAAAATCCATATGCAAGTTAAAAGAAAAATATTTTCTTTCCTGATGACTAATATACCACAGATTGTAAAAATGAAAGGAATTTTAAAAATCAAATTTACTGTTCACTGTGTTCATGTATTTATCCATTTCACTACATTCGGTAAATGAAAATAGTCCAGTCGGCTTTAGTTTTTACTAGTGAGTTTTATTCTGTGATTGAACTGTAATACTACAAAAGAATATTTAAATCCAAACCCAAAATGAGAAATGTTTCAATGATTTGATTTGATTTATTTTAAAATTAACCTAAATTTTGAGGCTAAGTTAACAGTGTCCCTAGGAATTCAGACTTTTATTCCAAAGTGAATTCAGAATTATGAGGCCTTTTTCAGGAAAACTGTAGTAAATGGTAAAGCTAGGGTTAAAATTCTCTTTCTTGTCCA